TCAGCAAGCAGGTCTACTAGGAACAAATTCCCTCAGCTTTTTTTTTTTTTTTTTTTGAGGAAGGTTAGCCCTGAGCTAACTACTGGCAGTCCTCCTCTTTTTTGCTGAGGAAGCCTGGCCCTGAGCTAACATCCGTGCCCATCTTCCTCTACTTTATATGTGGGACGCCTACCACAGCATGGCATGCCAAGCAGTGCCATGTCCAGACCCGGGATCCGAACCAGCGAACCCTGGGCCACAGAGAAGTGGAACATGCGAATTTAACTGCTTTCATTTATCTGGAAATGTTTTAATTTCTCCTTCATTCTTGAAAGATGGTTTGTGTGATATAGAATTCTTGGTTGACAGTTTTTTCTTTCCAGGACTGACTATGTCATCCCACTGCCTTCTGGCCTCTGTGGTTTCTGATGAGAAGTCAGCTGTGGATCTTTTGGAGCCTCTCTTGTACATGATGAATCACTCCTCTTTTGTTCCCTTCAAGATTGTCTTTCTGCTTTTGGGTTTTGAAAATTTGACTATCATCTGTCTCAGGGATATATGTCTCTTTGAGTTTATCCTGCTTGCACTTAATTAAGCTTCTTGGATGTGTATATTCATATCTTTCATCAAATCTGGGAAGTTTTCAGCCATTATTTCTTCAAAAATTTTTGCTGGCCCTTTCTCTCTCTCTTTGTCTTCTGGAAATCCTATTAAGCATATGTTGGTATGCTTGACGGTGTCTCACAGGCTCTCAGGCTCCTTTCATTTCTCTTTATTCTTTTTCTTTTCTGCACCTGACTAGATTATTTTAATTGCCTTATACTTGAGTTTACTGATTCTTCCTTCTGCCTGTTCAAATCTGCTTTTGGGCTCCCTCTAGTAAATTTTTTTTTTAAGATTTTATTTTTCCTTTTTCTCCCCAGAGCCCCCCAGTACATAGTTGTGTATTTTTTTTTTCAGTTGTGGGTCCTTCCAGTTCTGGCATGTGGGATGCCACCTCAGCATGGCTTGATGAGCGGTGCCATGTCCGTGCCCAGGATTCAAACTGGCGAAACCCTGGGCCACCAAAGCAGAGCACGCAAACTTAACCACTCGGCCACGGGGCTGGCCCCGTCCTCTAGTAAATTTTTTATTGCAGCTATTGTATTTTTCAGCCCCAGGATTTCTATTTTGTTCCTTTGTATAATTTTGATCTCTTTATTACATTCCCTATCTGCTCATACATTGTTCTGTGGTTTCCTTTAGTTCTTCATCCACTGTTTTCTTTAGCTTGTTGAGCGTATTTAAGAAGGTTGATTTAATGTCTTTGACTAGTATTTCCCATGTCTGGGCTTCCTCAGGGGTGGTCTCTGATTTCTTTTTCTGTGAATTGGCTACACTTCCCTGCTTCTTTGTATGCTTTGTAATGTTGTGTTGAGAACTAGACGTTTTGAGGATCATAATGTGGTCACTCTGGAAGTCAGGCTGTTCTCCTTCTAAGGAATTGTTGATTTTCACTTGTGAGGGTTGCAGCCACCTACTTAGTGACTTTTCCAAGATTTTTTCCTCAAAGTGTATTCCTTGGGGTGTGTGGTCATTGAAATTTCTGTTCCCTTGTCTCTGCAGTCAGCCAGTGATCTGACAAAGATTTCCTTACCAAAACAAAGAAAAGGTGTCCTGTCCCTTTAAGTTTTCTGATAGATAGTATCAAGGGAAACTGCTGCAACCCGAGAGGGCTGAAGCCAAGATGAGAGCCTGTGCCAGTCTCCACCAGTCTCTCAGGGAACTCTTCAAGTGGTCAAAGCGCATAACCCAAACCTTTGGAGGACAGGGAGCTCATTGCCCGCTCTTGCATCCGCCCCCACTCCAGGAATACTGACTGCTAGCCCCACAGCTGCATGGTGGGGTGGGGGCTGAGGACCGGGGCATGGCAGCGGGTTCTCGCCCACCTCGCTATTCTCCTTCCAACAGTCAGCAGCTTCTTCCTCCACGGGGCACTCCCCTCGTTGCTCTAAGTGTCTGATCAGCTTCCAGCGTTTCAAAATAGTTGATTCTGAAGTGTTTTCTGTCCCCAGTTGATGGCTGTTTTGGCAAGGGGACTGACCCCCAGGGCCTCCTACTCCACCCTCCTGTCACCTGATGTCCTTCTGACCCCCTCTTTTTTTCTTCTATATAAATCACTTTAAGTTGAGTTTCTGTCTCCAGCATCCGAGAGGTGGTAACAAACTGTTCTGAGTCCCATGCTTGGTGCAATGGATTTTTCAGATTTGAGGAAGATTTGACCCCTGATCTTGGAGGGGAAACCGCATACTACAAGGGTGGAAGTGGTCGGTGTCATCCCTAAGGACATGCAGATGAAGTGCTACGGGGGCTTCATGGAGGGGATGACCTTTTGACCTTGGGGTTAAGCAGAGACTCCCACAGAATTGTAGGCACCTCATCGAAGGTCTTTCAACTCCAAGATCCATTGACAGGGCTGGTGCCTGCCTTGCTCACCTCTTGTCCCCCAGGCCCAGAGGAGGGCCTGGCACATGGAAGGGGGTCAACAAATATTTGCTAAAATTTAACGGTGTTTCAGTGACTAAACAAAGTGTTTTGGAGTAGCTGATGTTCACCTGGATAGGTGATCATAATTTGAAGGATTTCCGATGGATGGAGGAAGTATCTGTCCCGGCTTTTACATTTCCGATGGCCTTTATTCCTCAGGACAACCCTGAGACAGGCAATGTTCTACCTGGATGAAGTGCAGAGGGAGGTTAAGTTTCTCGCCTAAGGCTTCTCAGCAGGGAAGTGGCAGTGGCAGAGTCGGGACTAGAACTTGGGTCTATCTGGGTTTGAAGTCCGAGTCCTTTTGCTGCTACTTCCAACATTCTTATATTGAACAGGAAGCATTCTGACCCAGGCTGGTCTCCTTTCTGCTGTTCACACAGGCCCTCGGAATGTCTGGTGGGCCTGTCTCTTGCACTGAGCAGGAAGATCACACGGCAGAGACCCAGAAGGGGCTGGGGCAGCACAATAAGTCCAGGCTCAACGACCTAGTAGAAGAAAACAGCAAATGTTTATTGAATGTCTACCAAGTCCCTGCCCTCATGGAGCTCACAATCTAGCGTGGAGAGATTGATAACTAGCAAGGAAACGTAGAGTTGATCATTTTGAGGAGTGAAGAGTGCCGTGAAGACAGTGTGAAAAGTGAGGTGCTGGCAGATGCTTGGAGGCGAGGGGAGGGGCTTCAATGGACAGAAAACAGGAAAGCCTCTTTATTTGAACTGAGGCCTGAGTGAAGCAAGGGTTCAACCGTGCATAGATCTGGGAGGAGCATTACAGGTAGAAGGATGCAAAATCAAAGACCCTGAGCCAGGAATCAGTCTGGAGTGTCTGAAGAAGAGGAAAACCATTGTGTTTGGCATGAGTGGCAGGAGGCTTGCAAGAAAGTGGGAAAGGTGGGTCACATCATGCAGAATTCTTGTAGGACATCTAGATTGTCTAGTAGGGCAATAGGTGTCTAGTAGGACATCTATTCTGGTTGCAGTGGAAAGCCACCGAGGGCTCTAAGAGGGAGAGTGGTATGATCTGGTTACTTTTGACTAGATTAGGGGGTGTGAATCAGGTGTCTTTGGTTGCCAGTGATAGAAATCCTGATGCAAACTGCCTTCATCAGTCAGGAAATTTACTGGCCTCTTTAACTGGAAGTCCAGGGTAATGCAGACTTCAGAGTTGGCTCATTCAGCCCTGAAACAAGCTCTGTGATGTAGTCACGGAATCAGGTCTGTCTCTTGGCTCTGCTGGCCACAGACTCAGCTTCACTGACTCTACTAGGTGTCTAGGTGGTATTTCTAGACCCGAAACACACGAGGCCGCATGCTTTGTACCTCCTGGCCAAGGGACGGATAGAGTCCTTATGGAAGCACCTGTAAAGAATGAGGAAGAACTTTCTCAGGAGCCTTCAGAAAACCTCTATTTGTGGGGTGTCACATGCCCCTTCCTGAACCAACCACTTACAGGGAAAACGAATCACCCTTAGACTGGAGCAGGGGGTGGATCGGCCTCCCACAGACAAGGAGCTATGTGGACTGGGGTTGACCATCTGAATTAGGGTCGGTGGGGTGGGCAGCGGCCAGTGTCCATTACAGGAGGCAAGAGTGGCGGCAGGCAGACCCGAGAAGCAGCTACTGAGGTGGTTGAGGATACAGAGATGATGGTGGTGCCAGAGGAGGTGGCCAGAGCAGTCAGATTCTGCCTGTTTCAGAGGTGCTGGTGTTGGAAATGCAGTGAGGAAAAGAGAGGAACTAACATTTCCCCCTTGCCCAAGTTTTCCTCCTTTCTTTCTTTGAAGCAGATGGGAATGGGTATTTCTGGACTGGAGAGCTAGCCAGGAGAGACAGAAGCAAACAGAGCAGGCAGGCACCCCAGGGTGTGACCTCTGCACGGACGGGAGCAGAGACGGTTGTTGGGGCAAGGCCGGTTCCATTCAGCAAGCATTAATTGGGTGCCCATTGTGTACAGAGGCTGTACGAGAACGAGGTGACAGGAGTTCTGAAATCAGAGAAAAAGTGTGGGCAAAGTTATCCTTGAAAAATCTAGTCCATACATAGCAATATATTAATATAATACAATGAAACATAATATACTACTAGTTTTATATAAGGAAAAATTATGTGTGCAGTTATTAATACACGTGCAAAATATAATTGCGTATTTTAACTCATTAAAAGAGGCACAGGAAAGAGTTGAATGTGCTAAAATTAAACGTGCTCACGAGGCCGCCAGAGCGCACGAATCAGGCCCCCTCCGCCCGACGCAGCCCCGACGGCGCGCACGCCCGAGCGCGGCCCACGCCGGGAGGGACGCCCGCCGGGGCTCCCACGCGCGCGGCCCGGGCTGCGCCCGCCGTCGCGCCACGTGACCGCCAGGGGCGGGGCGAGGGCGGGGCCGCGCGCTTCCCGGCGTGCCGCGCGGGGCGGGGCGGGGCGCGGCCTGAGGAGGCGCGGCCCCGGAGGACGCGGGTCGGCGCCCCGGACAGGCGGCCCGGACCGGCGCCCGCGCTCGCGGCGGCATGCGCGTGTGAGATGCGGCCGCGGGCAGCCCGGACGCCAGCAGCGGCCGCGGAGCAGGCGGGCGCGGCCTCCTCGGCGCGGGGCGCGCGGCGCAGGAGGGCGAGCACGCGGGCGCCGGACAGCCGCCGGCCGCGCCGCCCCCGCAGAGGCTGCCTGAGGACTCGCTCGCCGCGCTGAGGCCGGCGCCCGCCATGGAGGCCCCGCTCGGCCCCGGGCCCCCCGCGCCGGCCGCCGCCGCGCCGCTGCGCGCCCCGGAGGTGGCGCGGCTCCGCGAGGAGCAGGAAAAGGTAACAGGCCGCGCCGGCCCGGAGCGCGGGGAGCGGGCTCGGCGGCCTTTGTCTGGGCGCTGACCTCGCGGGCGGCGGGGGCGGCGGGGCGGCCGTCCGCGGGCGTCCGAGCGAGTTGTGGAGTGCGGGCGGCGGGGCGGCCGCGCTCTCGCTGTCGCTGTGGGCTCGCTGGCCGCCCGGCCGGGGCGCCGCTCGGCGCGTGAGGGACGGAAGTCCGCCGAGGGCCGCCCGGCGCGGCCGTGCGCTTCCCGCCGGGCGGCTGGTGCTGGTCCGGTGGACGCCGCTTCCTGAGAGGTTAGGCGCAGTCGTGCAGGGGCTGAGGGTCACGCTGCCCGTGGAGGGGGGAGAGTTCTGCGCGCCCGGCGGGCCTGGGCAGGACGCGCGCCGGTGAAGCCGGTGCCTTTTCACCCGAGATGTCGCCTTTGTATTCTGCAGCCTTGCGGAGTCGCACTCTCCGAAAGTTTGAAATTCTTACTTTGCAAAGCAGCATTTACTTAAGATGTCCCCTGCCGTCCTGGGAGCGACCGTCAGGGTCAGAGCGTTAGGAGGTCGTTTGCCCGGTGTCAGCGGCGGGGGGCCAGTCGGGCAGGACGGCCGCGCGGTGCGGTCCGGGCGCCGGGGCCTCCGACGCCGTCCGCAGCGGCTGGGCTTTGAACTTGACTTTTTTCAGGATGGGGGTTTAAAAAGGCAACAGGTTTAGCACGTTTACATTGTGATGTTAGTGAATCTTAATTTTTTTTTAAAGAGGAAAACCAGGGAGGGCCAGCTCTTCATGAAACCAGTTCGTTAATTTTGGCAAAACTGCTGCGGGTTGTCGCTCTGCCGGGCTTCGGGGCGGCCTCGAGGCCGGAGCGCGCCGCGTGGGAGTGGGGGCGGCGCCGGCGCCGCGGTGGCGCGTGCGTGGTGCTGCCGCACGTGGCCCGTCCCGGCCGGCTTGCGAGGAGGAGACCCTGGGTGTGTTGTGGCCTCAGCGTGGCCGAGATCCCGGGGATCCACGCCGGGCACCCTGAGCCGCTGCCGGCGTGGCCCCGGGGCCCCGGAACGCTGCCCGGGGCGGGGCGGGGCGGGCCTGGGGACCCCTCGGCGGGCGCGGCTCGGCCCCCGCCGCCCCGTGCTGTGGCCCTGAGCGCGCGTCTGCCGTGGGTGCAGCGCGTTCCCGGGGGACGGGAGACCTCAGGCCGCAGGACAGACGGCTGGGATCGCCGGCCGGGGCCTGGAGGGGAGCGTAGGAAGACTTGACGGCCAAGGAGAGTTTCTCCAGGGACCTCGGCTGTAGAGCCCGCCCGGCGGGAGGAGCGCGGTGACCTGGAGGGGGTGGCGGCCGGGACGCTCTTGGAGCAGGAAAGGGAAAGTGTCGTCAGAGCTCTGTACTGGTGTGCCGGTTAGGTTCCGTTAGGCAGGTCGGATTAAACCTGCCCTGGGCTCGGCCTTGGCCTAGGCCTGCCTGAGTTCTCTGAGAATTAAAACCTGACAAAAATGAATTGAAGGGCTTTTTCCGGTTTTCCCCAGAATGGATCCTGGCCGGTAGGCTCTAGATGCAGAGGCGAGAAATGGGTTGGTTACTTGCTGTGGATACCTTAGGGTTGGGGCCTTGTGTCCTCTGGGAATCTTGGTTGAGAAGGGCTGCGAGGTCATGTGGGTTAAATGTTGCTCAGCAGTTTATTTTGTTT